CACAGGCATAAAAATGGCCGCAGACCACGTGGAACGGGTGGAAAATGGCCGCGGACCACATGGCACAGGCATAAAAATGGCCGCAGACCACGTGGAACGGGTGGAAAATGGCCGCGGACCACGTGGCATGGGCGGGAAAATGGCCGTGGACCACGTGGAACGGACGGAAAATGGCTCGTAAGTCGAGGCGAGTTCGTAAGTAGAGGTACCACTGTATATGCAATGAGGATCAATCAGTTTTACAAATGGGGGACCTCCTTGTACTGAGAATTAATTTTAAATGTTAGTGATTACTTCAATTAATATATATGTTTTGGGATGTGATTTCTGGCAAATATACTTACACACACACACACACAAATATGTCTCACATTCACTGGGAAAGGGGAAATTCTAGGATTAGTTTTAGCTGAAGTTGGCAAGGTGGAGAAGCTGGACATTACCTAGAATATTTGTCCATGTTTTTCTGTGATTTACTCCTAGATAAGCCTTCCAGGAAGCATTTTAGCATGAAAACACCACTACTGAGAAAGCCCTGCCACAGGCACACTTGGACAAAGACAAATAAGAAGAACATATGCAAATACACAAGAATATATATGCAAATCAAATACAACCGGAACTATTTTAACTAGCAGCAGCACTTCCAAATCTTAGGCAGAGGTTCTCCACTTTTTCTAGTTTTTTTTACAGTAATTTTATTAAAGATTACAATTACAACAATAGAAACTAATACAAACTGAAAAAAATAAAAGAATAAAGAGTAGAAGGTGTAGAAAAGAAAAAAGAAGAGAAAAGAAAGAGAAAAAGAAAAGGAAAAAATAAGAATATAGTAAAGATAGATAGATAGATAGATAGATAGATAGATAGATAGATAGATAGACAGACAGACAGACAGACAGACAGACAGATAGATAGATAGATAGATAGAGATATGACTTCCCCCTTCATTACGAGTATAAACAATTTTAGTAACTTATTACCTTCTCTTAAAATACAACAAATGACATCTTCCCATATCCCATCTCTTATCTATAAATAAATCCATAAAGCATCAACATTTCAGTTCTGATGTCACAGAAAGTCCATTAAGGGTTACCTTAACAACGTATCTATTTTAACCTTCATCAAATAAGCCAACTTTATATTCCTTCCTTTTACTTCTAACAATCTTAATCTTTAGTCCCTTCAATTATTTGTCATAGAACTTGATTACCTGTCATTTTTTCTTTGTCCCTTCTCATAAAATTCTTCAAAACTTTAACAAGCCTCTTTTACATCCAATATAGGAAAATTATCCAGGCCACTCTCTTGGTTTGTGTTTGTATATCTCTTTTAATTATTAAGACATCAGTGTAACATCTTTTTCCAAGTCATTCTTGTAGAAATCCATTTTCAACTCCGTCTCAGTCTTGTCAGGTAGAACTTGCTCCTCTTCTGTGACATGTTTTAAACACAGTCTATCTATAGAAGCAGGCACTTTTAAAATTAACTTCTGGGTCCATTACTCAAAGACATCCTTCAATATGTGCAATGTTAAAATACTTTACTTCATTCTGTAATTGTAAGTTGAGTTTAAGTGTTCTTCTCCTTTAATTGTAATCTTTAGTTCCTTCTAGTTCCCTCTAGTGTCAATTTTTAAAATCTTATCTTACTATGTTGCTTTTTTTAAAAAAAAAGTTTAAAAAAGCATTTTCCCATGGGACAGGTTCTTTATAATTAATTCCAAAATCTTATTTCAAATTTATCTGGACCCTTAGTCCATTTGTAACTTTCTAAAATCTGCCTTTTGCTGTTTCTTCCAAAAAAAATTTTTTTTTAAGTTCTTAAACTTGTAGTTAAAAATTTCTTTTGCTGAGGATTGAAGGAAACTCACCCGGTGCTGTAAAACCTGTCAATCTAAAGGTTCCTAATAGCTGAAAACAGTTAAAAAGTAACTTCCAAAAGTGATTAGGAAAGGAAGTATGTGAACGTAGTGTCCTTTCAAAGGTGTCAACCACGGTTTGAGCAAGATGGTTATTCCCTCATTTCCCAGAGCTCTAAGCCCTCTGGTGACCACTCTCTTGTGGTCTCCTCGCAAGGAGCAACTGTTTGGAGCACTTGTGGGTGATATCAAGTCCTCTCCTTGTCCAGAGAGGAATTATTGAAAAGCCGGTCTACTCACCAGCCCTTCATTCCGCCACGGTCATTGACTCTGCTTTTCACAGAGCAGTCTTCAGTCTCCCATTTCTTCACCAGAAGTCCCTCTACTTTTTCTAGTTCTATAGGTAAAGTTCTATAGATCCTAAATTTCAGTGACTCTGAAGCAAACCTACCCATAAACATTCACATTTGTCAGAAAGTAAATATTTATAGGAAAGTTCTATCATAACCATTCTACACGTTTTATTTACTAAACACAAATGTTGGAGGTAGTAATCTCTTATGTTTTAATCTAGATTAGAGGTTCCAGTACATGCAATATGCATGTTAAAAAGATTTCTTCCTCCTAAGTTAAATTAAAGGACTTAGCCACCCAATACATAGGAGGATGTAGCAAAAATGAAATAAAATGTTGAAGATTGGGTCCAGAGCAAACTTAGTTCTGGATAAGAAATAGGCAAGTATAGTATATCGTAACACATACTCAGTTTGGCCCTTAGGAAAACTAGTTGACAAACTGAATACTTAGCGATCCAATTGCTAAGAGTTCAGCCAACAGCAATTCTAAACCACAACTCCTTAGATCACACAAGGGAAGAGAAATAAGAACTGCTCAGCAAAAACTGATTATAAAGAGACTTTTATTTCAACAAAACAGCCAGATACTATGTATGTGTATGTGTGTGTTTGTGTGTATAATATCTCACATCACAAATATATTAATGAGGTGCACTGGTTATACAAGGTGGCAAGAAGAGATGGGTTACAAAGGAAAGTTGTTGTTAGAGGCATACATCACACATTTATTGTGAGGCCCCCTGTACTTGCTTGGGAATTTTTTTTAAAAAAATCATATAATCCTGTTTGTATAAGAATGCCTATTTGAGAAGAAAAAATTAAAGCAGCATGACCTCTAGCACTAACATATAGAGAAATGGGAAAAAAATTAAGCAGAGGCAGGCAAAATATTAAAAGAAATTAAAGATGACCTTGAGCTGAGCTGAGGTCCTGGTGACTACCGTACTTGGACATATTTGTGCAGTTTTCTTAACAGAGTACAGAACAGGTTCACCACTGACTTATTCTGGGATGTTTCTCTGACTTCCCTGCTTAGCCTACATCTCTAGTATTCTCTGGTAGAACTCCAAGTACTATCAAGGCCCAGAGTCCACTGAGCTGCCAGCCCAGTCCCAAATGTATGGAACACTTAATTAAAGCTAACAGTTGAAGCAACATTTTAGAGTAGATGTAAATAAGATCTAATTCTGGAAATTAGAGAAAATGTAAAAAAAATATAGCATTACTACAGAATATTACTAAATTCTATGTTGATGTTATTAAGAGATGCTATCTATATTTTTAATGTTGAAAAACTGATTTCATGGTTCCTTGTCCTATTATTTGCATTATTAATATCACCTGAACTCCAACCCTTCAAATGAATCTGAAACAGATTAGCAACGGACG